CCGGGCCCGGCCGCCACTCTCTTCTCTACCGTTCCTGGTGCGGGGCTCCGCCTTGGCGGGGTTTTGCCGCCGCCGCGTTATAAGCGGCGTTAAGGGACAGAAGTGCTGTGGAGTGTCCGTGTGAGCGGCAGGGGAGGGCAGGAGAGGGAGGGGGGCTCTGCTCGGGTCCTACCGCCTGTGCTCCTCTCCCCAGGGCAAGGAGAAGAAGAAGAAGGAGAGCATCCTGGATCTCTCCAAGTACATCGACAAGACCATCCGGGTGAAGTTCCAGGGCGGCAGGGAAGGTAAGGTGAGCTCCTCCGCAGCGCCGAGCTTGCTTTGGGCTGGGCAGGGGAGGGCAGGAGAGGGAGGGGGGCTCTGCTCGGGTCCTACCGCCTGTGCTCCTCTCCCCAGGACAAGGAGAAGAAGAAGAAGGAGAGCATCCTGGATCTCTCCAAGTACATCGACAAGACCATCCGGGTGAAGTTCCAGGGCGGCAGGGAAGGTAAGGTGAGCTCCTCCGCAGCGCCGAGCTTGCTTTGGGCTGGGCGTTTTTCCCCGTTGCTCTCTCTCAAGGACAGACGGTGAGGAGCTTCAGTTTCAGCTTTATCTTTGTTTTATCCGTGCACCTTTATTTCATAATCTTTTATTAGCTGTCTTCAACTGTCTTGTTTCTTTTTGGCTGGCTTTCCATATGGCAAGAGCACACTTAAAGCAGCAAAGAAACAATTCTGGGTGTTACAAGACATGCATCTCCTAAGGCACTAAATGCGTCAATACATTTTGCCGTGGCTTTTCATCGCTTTGGTGACTCTCACATGGTTGTTCGCAGCCCTGCTCCCATGCTGTACCTGCAGCAGTCTGTCGGGATGCAGCCCATAATGCCCCAGCAGACCACTTGTTTGTCGGGAAGCTGACAGCACCGTGCTCGGCAGAAGATTTGGCAGAACAAACTCGGTTTGTTTTTAAAAACCACTTTTGAAACTCTACTGCGACTTCATGCTTATGAGGTTTTGGAAGTTACTCAGACTCTTTACTGATAAGTGCAGGTCTTGGGTGGGAGGGTTTGCAGTTCTTAGGCAGCTGACAATTCCATTGACTCTGTTGGTTTAGACTTTCTTAGAAAAATTCACACCAGGTTCCTTTATGGTTTTCATATAACACCTGGGATTGTAGGAGTCTTTTCTTTGATTTGGGCTGTTGGCAATGATAGCAATGCTGATAATAAGCAAGTGTTTTCAAGCTGGGAGATCGTTCTGTGTAGTCTCATGATTCATTTAGTGACCAGGCTTGTGGATTCACTTTGTTTTAGGACACATTGCTTGTCTGTCTGCAGTGTGTTCCTATGAAGGCAGTGCTTATGCAGAAGAGATTGTGTTCTAGACGGGCACCTGGAAATTGGGTTTTCTGAGGAAAACACTTCAAAATATTGCAGTCTTGTCTCACTTTTTGCCATACCTTTTTGAGGCTATTTATTTGGGCTTGAGGTTTTTTTGTGGTGTGACTTGTACTGATTTGTTATGCTGAAGTATTCTTAAAATAACCCTGAAATTGGCTGAAAACAAGAATGTTTGTGTCTTGAAGAGCATTTTGAAGAGCTGGTTGAAAACGCCTTAAGCTTCAGTGGGCACCACACAAACCGGGTTCTCGTGCATTTGGGTGTTGGTAAGGAGGGCACTGTTTAATATCTCTGGAACCAAGCTGGAGAACTGACGGTGCCCATGCAATCTTGTGGTGTTGTATGTTGCTGTATGCCTTGGTTTTGGTCTCTAACCATTATTTTGTCTGTGGTCTTCAACAGCCAGTGGTGTCTTGAAAGGATTTGACCCTCTTCTGAACCTTGTGCTTGATGGTACCATTGAATATATGCGAGGTGAGTACTGTGCTGTGTAAACCTTCGCCCTTGACCCCAGTGAGTAATTTTATTAACAGAAATCCTACAGCTCTGACTGGATCAGAAGCTGCAGGTTGACATCTGAACCGAGACATGTTGTTTTGTTGTGTTGTGAGGAAAGGGATAACAGATGAAGCACATTCTCTGTGGTTGAGCATTTGTGGTAGTCCTTCCTTGGGCTCCTCTGTAACTCATTTGGCACTCTTGTTTTCTAAAACTTGAGTAAAGAAGCGTCTCCCTTCAGATGAGGCCTTTGCCTGTCTTTATATTGCTGGTTTGCTCAAAGCAGGAAAAGCATCTCAGCAAGAACTGAGTATCTTATTGCCTTAAACTCTACTGTAAATGCATTCTTTGCATTTCTGTGCAACTAAAGCCACCTCTAGCTTCCTAGAGCTAATAGAGCTGTAGGGTTTTTTCCTATTTTTTGTTTCCTTTTGCCATTCAAAGATAAATACTTCCCTTTCCCTTTCTCTTCTCTGAAACAAAATTTATCCTCTGGTAGGATGATGTTTTTTGAAGTGTTCCCTTGCCTGCTTACAAGTAAGCACTGGAAGCTTTAATTTTGCTCTTAAAGGGCAGTTTTAAAAGATGTGTAGTGCATTTTTATGGAATATACTTACAGCTCAAGGAGGGTAGAATTGGCTGTTGCTGTGTTAAGTGTCCCTCTGTCACCACCCACAGCTTTCTTTGGCTTGGTCTGGGCATGGACCAGTGCATCCTGAAGTCAAGGTTTCTCTCTAATTTGCACTGATCCCAAAATGCTTGCCTATAATGGCGTTTGAAATGGGATCAGGAGCTTTTTTTTCATAACTTCTATGTATGCTTCTGGGTAGAGGAATGAAAGGGCCTTTGACTTTTTTTTAAGATACAGGTGTTCTGCTTTGCATACAAAGCAAAGTTCTTTATTGCTTGCTGTGACATGTGCTGCTTGAAAATCAGTAAATCAGTAATGTCCTGAAGACATCAGATGTTACTGCTGCATCACTTTTGTAGTCTATGTGGTCAATAAGACAGCACAGAGACGGCTGGAAAAAAGCCCTGTATGTCGGTGCCTTCAGAAGTTGATGGAATTTGGTGGTGTTTCCTTAAGTTGCTGTTGTAACTGTGGCTCTCTGCTTTTCAGATCCAGATGATCAATACAAATTAACAGAAGACACACGTCAGCTGGGGCTTGTGGTCTGCAGAGGGACTTCTGTGGTCCTTATTTGTCCACAGGATGGCATGGAAGCAATTCCAAACCCTTTCATTCAGCAGCAGGATGGCTAATGCCATGCTTTGTCCTGAAGACTTCGAGGGTGGAAATCATCGGAGAGAATGATCAGTGTGTAGGAAGCTTCCTGTTTTGGGGGAGGAGTTTGAATGTATATTTGTTAGTATGACAGAACGGTCAATTTTTATTTTTGTGGCATTCCATAAATGATGAGAAGATGTGGTGTTGTGTAAGGAAGTCCCGATTTCCCCTCCCCAATAAATGTGTGACTACACTGTTTAAAGCTAACAGGAGAGAATATATTGCCATGGAGCTGTCTGAGACCCTCTTGATCTTGCGAGTTTTGAAACAACCACATAAAATTAGTAAAGAATGCCCTGAATGTTGACTATATTATTCACATTTTTAAATACATTAAAAATGTATTTAATCTAAATCAATTGAAATACATCAGAACATGGTTTTCTTCCTCTTGGATGTCAGTCCTCAGCTGGGAAGCATTGTGTTGCAGTCTTCCTGCTGCTGAGTTCAGTCTCTTTTGCCTGCTGCCTCCAGCACACGCAGGAAAATTACTTTCCTTGTATAGTACCTCATCATCACCTTTACAAGCGATGTAGCAAAGATCTTCTCTAGCACTTGTTCCGGATCTTGTAAGGTGTCATCTGTGTATCAGAAAGCTCCCACATGTCTACAGAAGGACCAGACTAACTCCTGGGGTGATTCTTTGCTGAGTGACACGGACATTATGGAAATATCTATTCAACAGCTGGAATTTTAGGGGAAGAATATTGAAGATCCTAATGTTAAATTGTTGGCAGTGTCTGGAAATACTGCATATTTTTATATTGTAGCTATCCACTTGTAGTTCTACTTGTTATAACTTGATTTGTAAGTAAACCTTTTTTATTTCTTTTATACTGCAGAAATGGCAAGACTTGGGGAGTTTTCAAAGAATAAATACAAATAAATCTGTTCCTAAATGTCTGGTGTTTAGTCTGAAAAAGTGCTCTACAGCTGGCATTGCAGTTTCTGCACAGTTGTAAATCTGAATGAAACTTGTCCTGGAGGTGTGTAAGCACAGCAAAAGCAGGAGAGACTAGATCAGAAGCTGTGCTCTGCTCCAAGACAGGAGAAATAACTGAGAGTACCTGGTCCCTTTTCTGAGGATTTGTGCATTTTCCAGGTATTTTAAAGGCTGTCTAATAGAGGATATGTGCCCATGGGCCTTGTGTAACCTGCTTCTGCCACCTGCTGTTCCTGAGGACCTTTTCTGAGGAGGCAGTGGCAGAGTGAGCTTGTTCCTAGAGGTTGTCATGAAAACACGCCAGGGCTGTATTGGCTGTTTGTTTTGGCAACAGCCCTGTGCTCCCATTCACAGCCTTTCCTGGGTTGGCTCTGGAATGGATGGGATTTTCAAGTAAATAAATTCCCGTTCAGTGTATGTGACTATGAAACGAGGTATCGGTTGTCTTGTGTGCCATTGTTGCCTGTGTAAACAGATTAATCTAGGGCTTTGTTCTTCACAGAGCTGTTTGTAGAGTCATGCTCCATCCAACATATTTTTTTTTTCCTAAGGATACAAAGCTTGTTCATGCAATTACACAGTTTGAAAGAGATGTCTTATTTGGAGAGTTGGGAGCTGAATTTGCCTGTCTTGACCTGTCCCTTAGGTGGGAGATTGCTGCTGTTGATACCAATGGCATGCTGCACTCTGAGAGTGACAGCACTGGACCAGGCTGCCAGAGAGGCCCTGGAGTCTCCTCTGGAGAGATTCGGAACCTGCCCAGATACGATTCTGCGCAACCCGCTCTGGGTGAAGCTGCTTTGGCAGGAGTTGGACCCAGTGATCTCCAGGGGTCCCTTCCAACCCCAACCATCTATGATCTCTGCACTCCCCTGTTTTCTGAGTGTAGCATCAGAAATGAGCCCGGTGAAGCTCTCTTGAGTGGATCCCAGGCTTCCGATGCAGAAGGTATGGAAGGTTCTGCCTGATGTCATGTGTCAAGTGCATAAACTCTGGAAAGCGACATGTTTCCAGCATTTCTGCTCAGTTAATTGGTTGCTCAGTCTGCATTGCAAGATACGTGGCTGTTCTTGTCTGCAGTGCAGACTTCAGGGTTATATCTGGGAGTCAAGTACCTAAAAATACAAATATGAAAATGATAGCTGAATTTTAAATGAGTGTATGCTTTTCTGTTAGTTTCATTCCTAAATGTGATTCTATAAAACAATTTGTAACAGCAGTTTTGCAGAAGCTTCCTCCAGAAAGGCAGGAGGGAAGCTCCAGGGGGGGAAAAAGCTGCTCTGGATCCGGACAGCACTATTCTGCTTGCTGAACTCCATTGAGAAAGGAGGTTGAGTCTTGCTGGGATGGGCTCTTTGGGTAAGGGGCAGGGGTTCAAGGTCACTGTGCAAACCTCTCCACTTAATAGCTTGGTCTGAACACTTTGGGGAAATTCACTGTGAGGAATCAGTGAGCTGTTGCTTGCACTGTGACTATTTGTTTAGTGCATTGAGACTGAGGATGACTGATTATGTGACAACCATCAGGGTTTGAATGGGGCCTCTTTCCCCCCCCCATCTCTTACTAAACTAAATAAATATATCAAATACTGCAAGCAGTCTGGAATTTTATATTAAACTTGAACTGATGAAGGATATGGCTTTACGGAAATCAGTCTTTTTTTCCCCAGGAAGTATCAAGCTTTTGTATGTTTTTGTTTGCAGAAGTGAAGAGTATTGTAATGGGTACTTCTTCCAAATGGGTTCAATGTTTTCCTGTAACTTCCTGATATTTAGTGCTTAGGAAGATTTTGGAGGTTTTCTTCTCTTTCCTCCTCATAGTCCAGGCTCTTTGCTTGTAACAGCTCCCCTAATCTGCTGAGCTCTTACCTGGCTGAGGTAGATGCCAACTAAATCCACGTATTTTTTGTTAATACAGCTCTCCTGTTACTGCTGCTCTGAAAGCCACAGGAAAGACTGAAGGCCAAAGCAGGAGGGTAGAAAACATCCTCTATTTTTAGGACAAGATTGGCTTGGCTTGTGTTTACTCTAGCAGGGGGGATAATGTTTCCAGAGACCTCACATGAGTAAAGGCTGCATAAGGGCCGAGCTAATTTTAACTGCCTGGCGGTCAGCAAGCATGGAGCCTGCACAAGAACCAGAGGAGCTGGGACCTCAGACTGAGATGATCGCAGACACAGTTTTGGAGGTTGGAGAGAGGCTCTTCCAGGTCAGCCGCAGGGTACTGTCAGTGCACAGTCGTTATTTCCAAGCCATGTTTTTTGGGGGGGCGAGGGAGAGCTCTGAACACCACATAGTGATCAGAGGGATTGATGCGGCGCCTTTCCAGGTGCTCCTTGAGTTCACTCGCACAGCCCAAGTGCTTATAGGTCCTGAAAATGTGACCAGCTTACTGGAAACAGCCGATTTTTTCCAGTTTGACAGGGTGATACTGTTGTGTGAGAAATTTCTGGAGCGAGAGCTGCATGTTTCCAACTGCCTGGGCCTGATGACCTACTCGCAGCAATTTGCCTTTATGGAGCTGCACGCCTCTGCTATGAATGTGGCTCTCACCCACTGGGGGGATGTGATGTGCCAGGAAGAATTTAAGGCACTGCCTAAAGAAATGCTGATGCAGCTCATAAAAAGTGATGACCTCTTTGTTTTGCGAGAAGACGTGGTTTTTGACAGTATTATGAGGTGGATAATGGAAGACCCAGTGACGAGAGAGGAAGACTTCCTGGATCTGGTGGGCAAAGTCAGAGTTCCTTTTCTGAGTTTGTCCTTCCTTGATATCCTGGTGAAACGCAGCAAGCGCCCTGGACAGGCAGATACCTTTTCCAGGCTAATCAAGAAGTTAGACAGCTGTCCTCCACCCAGCTGGCAAAATGCAGAACTGTGTCCTCACGCTGGTCGGAGCTATGACACCTTATACGTCCTGGGAGGAAAGCATGACAAGGAACAGCAAGAATTATTTCTCTTTCAACCTAAAACAGGGATCTGGCAGGCTTGTTCTCCACTGCAGCGCAGGAACCTCACCCAATATGCAGTGGCAGCCGTAGGTAACTTAGGGAGAAGTGGGACTGAGCAATCACAAACAGAAGTTGGGGTTTAGGGACCCAAATGCAGGGAGTTCAGCTGCTTCTCCTGTAAAACTGTGTTGTTTTACAGGACCTCATTTGTGTTTGTGTTCATATTCATTCAAAGAAGGGTTCTGGTTTCCTTACTCCTGGGAGAATGTCAGACAAGGCTGAACATTTCTTTTCATGGAGCAGAAACTACTGAACTCCTTATGCTGGCTTTATCTGGAGTCAGTCTAATGATTTCACTTTAGCAGCATGTTTTTATGGCCTTCTCTTTCATGGTGGTTTTGACAGATGGTGACTTCTGATTTATAGTTGCCGCTAAATTAAACTTATCTGTGGATGTTATGAAATCTTCATGCTTGGAGACTTTCAAGACAGCTCCATACCATGGTGTCCCATATTTAGTGTTGGTAATAGACCCGTTTTGAGTGGAGTTTGGACATAAGATCCCCAGAGGTTCTTCCCAACCAGTGTTTCCATGATTCTGTTCAAGAGTGGGAGCAGACTTGGAAGGACTCACTGCATCCTGTAGGCCCAGCACATCTGTGCAGATGAGAAATCAAATCCTGCAAACTGATACAAAGAGCAGTGATTTTCTCTGCTCATCTTGCACCTCATCGGTACAGCCCAAGGAGAAATGAGAGCCCTGAGTTCTCAGGAGCGATTTTCAGCCTTCATGTAACCGATGCTTTTCTCTGCTGTCTTTCCAGGGAGCTTCCTTTTTGTGACAGGAGGATACTTCCGGGATGAGTTTGTGTGGTACAGTGTGGATTGGGTGCTTATCTACAATTGCTTGGACAACAGCTGGCAGGAAGGGCCTGCCATGAAGAAGTCCCGCAACAGCCATTGCGCAGTGGGAGCAGGGCTTTACCTGTACGTACTCGGAGGGAGCACGGATGAAGGGATAATCCCAGCAGTGGAGCGCATGGCTTTGGTGGAGGCAGAGTGGGAGAGCATGAGTCCGATGGCTCAACCTGTGGAGAGAGGAGACGCGGTCAGCGTGGGAACCAGGATTTACGTGGTCTGTGGGCTGGATGAAAATGGACACGTGTATGATGGAGTGCAAAGGCTGAACACTGAGACGGACAGC